CTTGAGCCACGGCGCCACTTCCAGCTTTTTCTGTGTATGGGGTACTGAGGAATCAAACCCAGGGCCTCACGCATGCCAGGCGAGCACTCTACCACTGAGCCCCGGGCCCAGCCCCAAATTGCTTCTTAACTGCACTTCACCCCTGCCGCCAGCACACAAAGCCAGGGCACCCTGCTGCTAGGTGAACTTTCCTGAACCTTCTGATCCTATAGCCTCTCTACAAGGTCAACAAGCTCCGGCTACCACATGAGCCACGGACTCCAGCTCCAACCCCACGCTCCCTACCCTCATTCCTCATCATCTCCCACACATGAGCAAATCCCAGCTGCCAGGGAAGCTAGAACTCGGTAACCACACAGCCCGTCCGTCCCCTGCCATTCTGTCTCTGTGCCTCGCTCCCGCTGTCTCTGCTGCTGATCCCCATTTGTCCATCAAATCCTACTTAAGCATTTCTCTAACATCTAACTCAAGATAGTGGCTGGAGTGAAGCAACCATGGCTCACATCTATAATCCAAGCTACCCAGAAAGCCCAGATCTGAGAACTGCGGTTCCAAGCCAGCCCAAGCAGACAAATATGAGACAAGCTCCTATCTTCAATTAACAGCAAAAAGCCAGAAGTTCAAGTTTAGAGTGCCTAGTTGTGAGTGGAGATTGAGTAAGACAGAAGTTCAAGCCCCAGTACTGGCAAAAAAGAAAAAGGAAAAGAAAAAAAAAAAAGGAAGAAAGAAAGAAAGAAAGGGAGGGAGGGAGGGAGGGGGGGAGAGAGGGAAGGGGGCTCACACCTGTAATCCTACCTCAGGAAGCTGAGATCTGAGAATCGGAGCTCAAAGCCAGCCTGGGCAAGAAAGTCTGTGCAACTCTTATCTCCAATTAACTAGCAAAAAAACAGAAGTAACATAGTTTTAGCCTTGAGCAAAAACAAAACAATGCCCACAGGGACGATGCCCAGGCCCTGAGTTCAAGCCCCAGGATCAGCATGCGCAAGCATACACACACACACACACACACACAGAGGCAAGCTGCTACATTTCAATGAGCGCTCAGGACTGGCCGTAGCTTTGCAGCTTCACACACAAATCACAGCCCAACCAACCTTTAAAAAACTTCTTCCAGACGAAAACTCTTTACTTTGCACAAAGTAGTCTGTGTCGGTAACCCTTGCCATTTGTGCCTGGGAGCGTTTCCAGCACTTGACACAGATCCAGAACACCTTAAGAAGCAGCAAGCATGCTGGAAGGCGACCCCGGGGCCAGGCCCCTCGCCTAACCCCCTCCCAGACAGCTCCTTTTAAGGGAGAGCCGGCCCAGCCAAGGGAGCCAATGTGAACAGATAAAGACACATTCCACTGCCACGTAAAAATAACTGCACATAAAAATAAAAATGAGTGGGCTGCAGTGATACATGCCTGGAACCCAAGCATTTGAGTCCGAGGCAGAAGGATCCCAAGTTCAAGGACAGCCCGAGTTACATAATAACCATCCTCCTCCCATCTCAAACACAGCATAAATAGCTAGTCAGGTGCAGGGGCTCACACCTGTAATCCTAGCTACTCAGGAGGCTGAGAGCTGATGATCACAGTTTGAAGCCAGCCCACACAGGAAGGTCTGTGAGACTCATCTCCAATTAATTACAAACAGCCCAAAGTGGAGCTGGCTCAAGTGGTAGAATGCTAGCCTTGAGTGAAAAAGCTCAGGGCCACAGCCCAGGCCTTGAATTCAAGCCCCAGGACTGACACTGATTGACAGACAGACAGACAGAGACAGACACACACACACACACTCACACAAATCCATAATAAATAGAAACCTGTGTGCGTGAAATGAAGAGTAAGATCGCTGAGGATATACTGCATTTAACAACAGGAGAAACAGGAGAAGAGAACACATAGACCAGCGTGCTACAGCACTCATAAGTTACAATTAGAACAATGAAGTCAAGCACAGGGAGGCCGGGCCAGCGGGGAAAGCCTTCAAAACCCAGCCACACTTCACCGCCACCACAAAATATCCCCTCCGGCTGGAAGAAGCGTTACTCTACAATTTAAGACACTTCCTTCTGCCAGTTAAAAAAAAAAAAATCTCTTAAGTGACTCCGCCGCGAAGGGCCATTCCCACGCTTCCCACCAGACCGGCTCGGACTGCACCAAGGCAGCGGCCGCCTGGGCTCTTGGCAAATGAAATTGGACTTCAGGCCAGGGTGGTATAATGACTGGCAGCAATCTCCCAGAGAGCTTCACGTGAACGTTATTAATGCCCACATTCGGCACGGCTGCTCAGTATTTAACACTCTCACACCTCACCCATTCACACCAGTAAACAGGCAGACAAATGCTCAGAGAGCTCAAGTGACCTGCCTGCGATCACACAGCTCACAGCAGCTAAGTGCATTCATGGCCGGTGATGTGAGGCCTGAAAATCTTTGAACCCCCTAACCATTGGGACCGAACGAGACTGTTTGCAAAATAGTTTCTTCAGTCTCAAAAAACACCCCCAAATAAACCAATGCGTGACACTGCCAAGTGAGTGGAACTCCATGAGCCACGGGGTTCTGGCTTTGTCCTTCCCTGAGAAACATGCACACTAATCAGGGCATCCGGACCAGCAGCGCTGGCCTGGCTAGGCGAGTGCCCTGGCATTTGGGTTTTCAAGTTATTTCCTTGTTTTAGAAGCACTCCACCCAGAAGAACAAACTCCAGTTGAGTAAGTGAGGTTGCACTCTGTGGAGTAATCCAGCTGTCAGTCAGTGCTCTATTTCTGCGGGGTAGTCAGGCAGGAAGGTCCCTTCTGCTCAAAGAAAAAGAAAACTCCTGCTGGACGATCTTGCCTCTCTTTACATAACTTCCTCCAGGTTCTTACCAGGAGGAACCAGGTGAGGCTGGTAGTGTAACCGCTGAACATTTGTCAGTGTTCACAGCACACCCTTGTGCCGTCCGCCGACACGCTGCAGCTGCATGCAGCAAAGTCACTTGTAGCAGGCTTATACGTTGGAGAATGTCACCAACAACAGAGCTCCCAGCAACCAATAGGCAGGGGAATGAAGCAAAGGCTTCCTTTCTTTGCAGTCATGAAACTCATTCAGTCCAAAAAGATGGACTTTTTATTCTCTTTAAAATAGACGGTGCCACACGGAGAGCATGAAGGGGTAACATGTCCTGGAGCACAGCTCTGCGTGCCAAGTCACAAAGCCCACGAACACAAGGGGTGTATTAATGGAAAGACTGATACCATCTTACTACAGAGGCCTCTCTGTAGCCACAGACAATGATCTGTTGAGGGTTTTCCAGGGATTTCAAGCCCTGCTTTAAGGGGGCTCAGGGCCCACAATCCCTCTTGGGAAAGAAAGCCAAGAGCCCCCACACCAGTTTCTGGGGTGAGAAACTGTGTTGGGGGCGGGGAGCAGACTTCAGAGACAAAGGCGGGTCAAAGAGAGGGGGCCAGGCCGGATCCATCGGCCCAGAGACCCAGAGCCGTGGGATTAGACTTTCACAGAGTCCGGGTGGGTTGGGAAAAAACAGAGGAAGCAAGGGCAGGCACTGCGACGCATCAGGGGGAAGTCAGCCAAGTCGCGGGGGAAAAGCACCGGCATGGGGCGGGCACATGCCAGTGAGGGGCTGGGCCGGCCCCTACCCATGGAAAGGGGGGTCAGCTCCATGCCCCCATCCTAACTTCTCCCTGAAACAGCTCCAGACGCCATCGGGGGCCGAACACTGGGGGCAAATCCTGCCATTCTAGAATTCCCACATTCCCTTCTTCCAGGACACGGTGCAAAGGGGATCCGCTGCCACCCACACTGTGGCACCATTGCACAGCCCGTCACCCCGCGCCCTGGGCCGGGGTCTCCAAGCTCCGAGGACCCTGAGCCCCGCTCCAGACCCTCGGTGGCCCCTCAATACACTCCGGAACTCGCATCCCTCTCCTGAGACGGCTGCTCCTTCTCACACCCAAGGGCCTGCCTCCATCATCCCCCAGGGCTTCTCCACCTTTCCCTTCGAAGCTCCCCAACTGCTGCCAAGATCTGGCCTTAGACCCGACTAAAACCCCTCTCTGGCCTTCCAACCCAACTTCGGTCCTCCAGTTCCTCCCCCGACCTCAGCCACGGCCTCGAGTCCTCAATTCCCGGTTTCGGTCCCAGCTCGGTCTCAGCCCCCCAGCCTGGCCCGGGACCCCAGCCTCGGTCTCAGCCCCCCAGCCTCGCCCGGGACCCCAGCCTCGGGCCCCGGACCCCGAGTCTCGCCCCGGGACCCCAGCCTCGGTCTCAGGACCCCAGCCTGGCCCGGGACCCCGGCCTCGGTCTCGGCCCCCCAGCCTGGCCCGGGACCCCGGCCTCGGTCTCAGCCCCCCGGCCTGGCCCGGGACCCCGGCCTGGCCCGGGACCCCAGCCTGGCCCGGGACCCCAGCCTCGGTCTCGGCCCCCCAGCCTGGCCCGGGACCCCAGCCTGGCCCGGGACCCCGGCCTCGGTCTCGGCCCCCCAGCCTGGCCCGGGACCCCGGCCTCGGTCTCAGCCCCCCGGCCTGGCCAGGGACCCCGGCCTGGCCCGGGACCCCAGCCTGGCCCGGGACCCCAGCCTCGGTCTCGGCCCCCCAGCCTCGGGCCCCGGACCCCGAGTCTCGCCCCGGGACCCCAGCCTCGGTCTCAGGACCCCAGCCTGGCCCGGGACCCCAGCCTGGCCCGGGACCCCAGCCTCGGTCTCGGCCCCCCGGCCTGGCCCGGGACCCCAGCCTGGCCCGGGACCCCAGCCTGGCCCGGGACCCCAGCCTGGCCCGGGACCCCGGCCTCGGTCTCGGCCCCCCAGCCTGGCTCGGGACCCCGGCCTCGGTCTCAGCCCCCCGGCCTGGCCCGGGACCCCGGCCTCGGTCTCGGCCCCCCAGCCTGGCCCGGGACCCCGGCCTCGGTCTCAGCCCCCCGGCCTGGCCCGGGACCCCGGCCCGCCCCGCGAGCCGCCTCGGGCCCCTGTCGGCCCCCACCCCGGGGCCTCGGGCGCGCGGGCCGCGCCGCTCACCTCCTCCATCCCCTGCACCATGTCCGCCAGCCGCCCCTCGTCCTCCAGCAGCTCGTTGAGCTGCACCAGCGACAGCCCCGCGAAGCGGGCTTCGCCGCCGGCGCCCGCCATGCCCGCGTCTCGGCCGCCGCCGCCGCCGCTCAGCGCCAGGCTCCGCCGACCGGAAGCGCCGCCCTCCGCCCCGCCCCCGCGGGGGGGCACGTGACGCCAGTCCTGGGGCGTGACGTCACCGACGCGCGGGCGCGGCGGAGGTGACGCCGGGGCCGCGAGCGCGGCGGGCGGCGGGCGGCGGGCGGCGGGCGGCGGCGCGTGCCCGGGCTCCCCGGCTCCCGGGGCTCCCCGGGGGTCCCCGGGGACGGGCACGCTCCGGAGGCGGCCGTGACGTCACCGCGGGGCGCCGTGATGTCATCAGCGCCCTTTTCCCGAGATCCGCAGAAAGCCGGCCGCGGGAAGGGAGTTACCGCAGCCCCGGGCGCCCAGGCTGAGCCCGCGACCCCCAGCAGGCGATCCGGAGGCCGCTCGGCTCCTCAGATCGCGGGCGGCCAAGAGGACCCGGCCGGGGTATGGAGCCGGCGGACAGAACAATGGCTGCAGTCGGGAGCGCGCCAAGGACTCAGGTGGGAAGAGAGGAGGAAGAGAAGACAGCATCTAAAGAGAGCTGCAGACGCGGGATGCTCGGGGGACAGGGCAGCTGGAAACAGCCGAGGAGCGAGGTGCGCACGCGGCCCCCTTGGCCTCAGACATGGAGGTGTTCAGACGTGGAGGTTGGCCACATGAGTTAGGACACGGCTGCTGGGGGGCCGCCAGCCTCAGGAGTCTGGGAACTCCTGACCCGGCTTCTGAATCGACCCCAGGTCTAGCTGAGAGAAACCTAAGACAAGCTAACTGCTACACACCACAGGGAAACCGAGGCCCTGCGAAAAGTTCCTTTTTGTTCCCTGAAGTCAAGTAATCGGGAAGTCTCCTGGCGCCCAGCCCGGCATCTGCCACCACGCTGGCATCATACCACACTGGTCCTGCCGCCGAATCGGTCCCGAACAGTCGAGGCATTCAGTGGATGTTTATTGGCCAACTGCTGTGCTTTGTGCACGAAGACAAGACTTCTGTGCGTCCATCGGTGGCCCAGAAGATTCCGGAATGGCCTTCCATACAATCAGCCAGGCTCCATGACCCGCCCTGCCCTCCACGGTGCCAAGGGCGCACATTTTAGTCAGATGGGAAGAGAGTGAAGGGAAGCATTGCATATCCTCCTAAGCTGACGGCTTTGTTGAGTCCAAAAAGCGCACTTTTCACTTTCTTCCTTGTAAAGCATTACATTTCCTCAAGAAAGCTCACTCTGCCAGGGCCCCAAACTCATGCCTGTTCATCTTAGCTACTCAGGAGGCCAACACTTGAGGATGAGGTTCAAAACCAGCTTGGGCAGAAAAGTCCATGGGACTCTTCACCTCCAGTTAGCCAGCAAAGAAGCTAGTCATGGAGGTGTGGCTCAAGTGATAGAGCATCAGCCCAGAGCAAAAAAGCTAGGCGATTTCAAGCCCCAGTACTGCAGAGGGAGGGAGGGAGGATGAAATTTGACCCTTAGGAGGAAAGGGTACAATAAAGAGGATGGGGAAGTAGGAAGTTGGTAATAGTGGCATTTTTTTTTCTCTTCGGGGAAAGAATAGCCCTCTCTATAGAGATTGTAGCTGTTTTTTTTTTCCCTGAAAAGTCTCACCTATAAGGCTTAAAGTACTCAGGTTAGCCAAGAACAAGTCTAGTTTTCCAAATGTGCACCTGCAAACCGGAGCTCACAGGCCAAGTAAAGGAAAGGTCTGGCAGGGAGGCGGAGGAGCTGAAGCAAAAGCCAGAGGCCCCCAGTTCAAGTCCCAGGACTGGCCCTCTTCAGAGGGCTGAGTGGGAGAAGAAAGCCGCTTGTGCCGTGGGACCCGCGTCTTTTGTTTGGGCTGGCCGGTATTTGTTTCTCTGCACACTGGTGTCTCCTACAGTGACTGTGCCTGTCAGTGCTCTGTGGGAGCGTGCCTGCTGTGTGAGCACTGGGTTCATGCTCATAATACAGGGGTTGTTTGGGAAGTACCTTAACAACAAACAACACCATAGCCGGGCACCGGCGGTTCACGCCTGTCATCCTAGCTACTCAGGAGGCTGAGATCTGAGGATCACAGTTCAAAGCCAGCCCAGGCAGGAAGGTCTGTGAGACTCTTATCTCCAATGAACCACCAGAAAACCGGAATTAGCGCTGTGGCTCAGAGGGGTAGAACGCTAGCCTTAAGCAAAAAGAGTTCAGAGACAGTGCCTAGACCCTGAGTTCAAACCCCATAACTGACAAAAACAAAACACCGAAACCTTCACATAATCGAACCTTAAGATCTTCTAACCACGGGATTAGCATTCTTTCTCTCAGGTGGATGCATATTGGTAGAATTATTCATAAATGTTTACAGTTGTGCATGTCTGCATGTCAGCACAGGAAGAATTAGTCCCCAAGGCACCGAGTGTGACAGCCATGCCCCCGTGGGGATTCACATGCTGACATCACCAGCACGGTCACCACCACATACCAAGACCTGGATGCCCAGGGTGACCACACACTAGACTCAGAAGAAAAGCATTGCTTTGGAAACACTCCCTGCCCTGGAGGGCGAGAGAAGATAGTAGAATGCTTGCAGGTCTCCAGGTCACCAACCTCCGGCATCCGCCTGTGCACAAGCCAGGGCAGATGGCACAGCCGCGGTGGAGGCTGGAAAAAGACAACACCTTATCCAGGGCTGGGGTTTCAGCTCTGACTTGTTCTGGGATGCCTGCTTCCTTTCCTAGCGTACTTCTTTACTGTTCCCATGTGGGGCGGGTCAAGTGGATGATTTCACGCATGGCACACATACCCATAGCTCAGGTTCAGAAATACTTGTCACAGCGTTGAAGCCCCTTCCTACCCAGAGTATAGCTACTTTCAGGAGGCTGAGACTTGAGGGTCACATTTCAAAGTCAGCCTGGGCAGGCAAATCCATGAGAGTCTTAGCACCAATTAACCAACAGAAAGTCAGAACTCAGCTTGGTGCTGGTGGCTCACACCTGTAGTCCTAGCTACTCAAGAGGCTGAGTAGGCTCAGTAGGTTGAGGATCATGGTTCAAAGCTAGCCAGGACAGGAAAGTTTCTAAGACGCTCTAGTAAACTACTCAGAAAAAGCTGGAAGCTGGGTGCCAGTGGCTCACGCTTATAATCCTAGCTACTCAGGAGGCTGTGATCTGAGGATCACAGTTCAAAGCCAGCTGGGGCAGGAAAGTCCATGAGACTCTTATCTCCAATAAAACCACTAGAAAACTGGAAGTGGTACTGTGGCTCAAGTGGTAGAGCACTCGCCTTGAGCTGAAGAGCACAGGGACAGCGCCTAGGCCCAGAGTTCAAGCTCCACAACCGACCAAAAAAAAAAAAAAGAAAAAGCTGGAAGTGGTGCTGTAGCTCAAGTGGTAGAGTGCTCACGTTGAGCACAAAGAAGTTCAGGGACAGTGCCCAGGCCCTGAGTTCAAGCCCTAGGACTGGCAAAGAAGAAAGGTCAGAATTGGAGGTGTAGCTCAAATGGCAGAAGGCCAGCTTTGAGTGAAGGAGCTAAGCAAGAGATTAAGACTCTGAGCTCAAGCCCCAGCGCCAGGAGGAAGAAAGTAGCCCTACAACATTTTTTGCCTATTTCACTTTGACCCAGCAAACAAGCCAGAGGGGCGACGGACAGCCTGTGCTGTGCATATAGACACTGTCATTAACAAGCCTGAAAATCCCAGGAACTTCTGATTCATGCGGCAAGAAATGAATTCAGCTGTCTAAAGCACTGCAGCCTTGCCACCGGCAGGCTAGCCTTATTACCCGGCCAGCCCTTGAAGTGGGAAAACTACAGAGACACTATTTCCAGATAGCGGGTTTGCAAACTCTCTAGGCAGAAACTAGAAACTGAAACTCCATGCGGTATTTTTTAAAAAGAGACTCTGTAGGTCTTTTTTCAGCCATAGAAGTAATTTGCGTCTTTCGTTTCTTCTCAGAGTAATGAGTTTTTTATGATTCTTTACCCCCTTTGCAAATCTGAAACCTTTCATTGTAAAACACAAACATCCAAGCACTTAAAATAATTGTCACTGGGCGACCACTTTCAATGCTTAACACTTGTCTTACATGCACAGAGCCATAGGCTTGGTTCTCCAGAAATAAAACAAAACACCTTCACAGTAATGAAGTACGTGTAAACTCAGCCAAGCATAGTGGTATCTGCCTTTAAGCCCAGCACCTCAAGAAGCAAGAGGGTCACAAGTGCAAGAACAGCTTGCGCTACAATAACAAAACAAAGTTCACAAACTAAGAAGTTACAAGAATATCCTATTGATCTGATATCCCAGAGACGAAACCATAACGTACAATTGTGTTTCTCCTTCTAGAAGTGTGCTAAATGGAGACAAAAATGTACTTGAGTGTCTGTGCTAGTTATTCACACCTGTAAATCCCAGCTACTCAGGAGGCTGGGCCTTGTGGCTCTCAGTTCAAAGCCAGCCCAGGCCAGAAAAGTCTGAGATACTCTTATCTCCAACTGACCACTAAAGCCAGGGGCGGGAGCTGAGGCTCAAGCGTGAGAGCACCAGCCTCGAGTGAAAAAGCTAAAGGACAGTGCCCAGGCCCTGAGTTTAAGCCCAGCACACACACACGCACACGCGCGTGCACGTGCACACACACACACCACTAACCTATATAGCTTCTTCCTTTTTTTTTTTTTGCCAGTCCTGGGGCTTGGTCTCAGGGCCTGGGCTCTGTCCCTGAGCCTCTGTATGCTCAAGGATAGCACTCTACCACTTGAGCCACAGCTCCACTTCTGGCTTTTTCTGAGTAGTTTATTGGATATGAATCTCATGGACTTTCCTGCCCTGGCTGGCTTTGAACTGTGATCCTCAGATGTCAGCCTCCTGAGTAGCTAGGATTACAGGCGTGAGCCACTGCACCTGGCTCCTATATAGCTTTTTGTTTTCTTTCTTTCTTTCTTTTTTTTGTTGTTGTTGTTGGTCATGGGCTGAACTCTGGGCCTGGGCGCTGTCCCTCAGCTCTTCAGCTCAAGGCAAGCTCTCTACCACTTGAGCCACAGCGCCACTTCCCGCTTTTTTCTGCTTATGTGGTACTGAG